TGGATGCACAGCATTTACAGTGACACCAGTATCTATAGGAGAGGAACAATAAATGCATTCAAAGATATACTGACAGTGGGATCAACCAATACAAAAGCAAAGGGGATGTTGTTTCAATTACAGTGGAGGATATGATGCCAGTGTGTACTTAGAAGTTAAAGTTTCAGTAGAAGAGAATATATGTAGCTCAGGGTTGAACCCGTGGAACCGTTGGTGCTCTTAGAGCTTGGTTGTTTGCTTCCAGACATTTCATTATCCAACTAGGTAACATCATCAGTGCAAGTGAGGGTGGGGTTTGCTCCCTATTTATATGCAGTACCTTGCCCTGCCAGTGGTGGTGGGGGTTGATTTTCTCCTTGGTAGTTCCTTGAGTAGGGTATTGTTTTCTGCCTGTTTGCCTGCTCTTAATCCCTGCGTATCTGGGTGTTGGCTGCTGGAGAGGATGCGTTCTGGTCTTTTGGTTTCCTTCGTAGCTTTTTTACTGTCTCTTTTGAATGATGTGTAAGTGTGGTTTATTTTTAGGTGTCTTCTTGAGTTACTGGGTCTTTCGGTTTATTTAAGATGTTTTGGAGGGCAATTCAATGGGAATTGGACTAAAATTGACCATGGCTTCCTTGTGTGCAAACAATCGTTATGCCTGTGGTAGAAGCTCAAGTATCTCTCTCTGGAATTATTACTGTATTTTACATTACTTGGAAAGAAGTCCCACCACATTCTGTATGTGTGCATAAGGCACAAATGTCAGGGCTCTTGCAGGTTGTTCAACACGCTACTATCTTTGCTCGTCAACGTGAAGTCTATACTCTGCCCAGCTCAACCTTGGCCAATTTTTGATTTTCTATTTTAAATACTAGGGAGCAAGAACATTTGGAGTTAAAAATAAATGTTGTACTTCAAAAATGTTAGAACTTCTCCTATCCCAGGATGCCAATTTTTCCAGTAGTTTTTGCTCTTAAATGGCCTTGTCAACTAAAAGCACTGCAAACTTCCAGCTCACCTTGCAGAC